TCCCGCGTTCACCTGGTGGACCATATTTCGGCAACGGATTGATGGATTTTGATTAAAAAAATTGATCATTATTTATTACACAAAAAGGAACAACTTTTGTCATGAACATTTTCTTCTATTTGCCAATGTTTCCCATAAAAAAAAATCATCAAAAAAATCACTTAATTTGTTTATAACTATTAATTGCACGCACTTACATAAAAAATACCACCGGATTCGGATTTCTCATACCCGAAAACATAAGAAAACACCTCAACACCTTACCGCACTAGAAGTGCACACGGGAAGGGGGTATTGCGTGTGGACTATGAGTGGAAGATTCCATTTACAATTTGATCTTAAATTGAATTCAAATTCACAACTTGTTCAATTATCAAAAAAAATTCCAACAATGTAATTTTTCATACAAATCAGCCGTCAAGATTAAATCAATTAGATTTGATACCATAAATATCTCCTCCCAATTATCACAATATAATTCATTGAAATAAGTATCAATCCGATAATTAATTCAAAATGAGTTGATTATTTATTTTCATGAATGAAACAATTATCCGCGTATATCAGCTTCATAATTGATTCTCTGTATCCATTAGCTATCTCGAAACTGACTATCAACTCCCATGCATCAGTGAAATCTGATCCATTGGCTTTCTAATTGAACGCAACACATACCCGTTGACAGTGTAATTTATAATTACGCGTATATAATGCACTTGAGATCTCAAGGAGGTTTTATATTGAAGTTGCGCTTTCACTCGAATGAGGGGAATCGGTGAAAATTAGAGCGGTAGAAACTTGACGGTTGCTCAATTCCACAGACCATTTTTATCCGCAAATTGATCAATTAAATTGTAAATATCATGGCTTCATTTCTGTTAATACACGTGAATAAGGGAAAAAAAATTCCCGATGGGTTGGTATCATTATCTCGAATTCTCATCAACTATAAATAGTGTTTTTCGGTGCAAAACGTGTGAGTTTAAAAGGGACAAAAAGCATTGAGAAAATCACCGATAATTCTTAATTGCCGGGGTGTTATCTAGATTCTGGGAGAACATTCTACCAGAAGCTTGTTCCTGATGCTATGGTGTATGCATCGATGCGTCTATTAGTCGGTCGACGGGAATTTGCAAGTATGATGGAATGAAAAAGGATGGTACGTGAGTTTTTCATGTGTGTGTGTGTGTAGTGGTGCGCCCCGGAGCTGAATAAATCTCCCGATGCCACTAGACTCAAAACATCTCGTATAATAATATGTAATGAAACGTGTTGAGGCAATACAGGTGACCGCAATGAGTTGGCTAATTAGTTTTATTACGACAAGGAGGCGATTTCCATAGGCATAAATCACTGATCAATTTTCATTTGCATAATTCAGGGAATCAAGGCTGTTTGACCTTGATCCTTAATCAATTCTTGGGAAATACAGGGGCTTTAATGCATCACTGAAAGAGGTAGCTTGAATTGAGATAATTTTTAGGTGTTTTTGTGGAGACGTTTTGGAGATCAAGACCAATTTAACAATTTTTTTATGATCGAAAATAGAGGCCTAAAGGCGAATTTACTATTTAGGTGATCAATTTAATTGTAAAACTTTGAAAATATTAAGATTATCTCAAATAGAAATTTATTAATTTAAGATTTTTTTATTTTTCATAGGATTATGGAACAGAAGTTCACATTTCATTGATTTGTCCATAAAATTTCGAATTTTCAATAAGTTACGTTTCCACTGAAATTCCATTGACTTTTTCTCATTAAATCGAATTCATCTCAATTAAATTGCATGAGAAAATTCTGAAAAAAAATCATGAATATTCAGTGCTATTAAAATTACATTTATTATTTTTCTAAACATTTGTTGTTTATAAATGAATAATTGAAACTGTGTAAGCTTTCGGTAACCTTATTTTCTCAGACATGAAATAGATTTCTGGTAAAATTCTGAAAGTGAATAAATTTGTTATGCTTCCGAAAAAATGATTTTTATAATGAAAAATTGATTGTCTAAAAATTGCTTCTTATTAAAAAATGGTTCTAATTCTCAAAAATTGGAATTTTTTAATTATTTCATTAGTCTTTCTTCAAAAGTAAACTTTATAATTTTTTTTTAGATTCTTAAAATGTTTTCTAACGGTTCAATATCGAGATTCAAATTCAGACCCGCAAAGTTTAAACAATCAAATCATTGTAAAATACCCGGAGACTTAGGGGCTCAAATGAAAGCCCTGATAAATCGAATTAAAGTTCTTTTTTCGGAAAATTCAGCCGAATTTTTGTAACAGTGCAGCGTTTCCTGTAACATAACGTGATATTGTCGGATTGAATTGAACAATTCGAGTGTCGAGCATACCCTAAAAAATAGAATTATAATATTCAACCTCACGTGGGGGTTTCCACAAATCGATTTGGCAATTTGTGAATCGTTTGATCGCGTGCCTGTGACGATTATTATGTGCCTCGTCGCCGCGTGATCCCCCGCCCGATCTCTCGATTGATCAGATTGATAAAACACAAGTTGGGTTTTTTTTTCATTTTCGTTTGTTTCTTCCTTCCATCCAAAAATTTCAGTACACGATGGAGAGAGAGATAGAGGGAAACGAGGTGTCGATTTCCATTCTAGTCGTATCATTAATACAAAAGGCAAGGTCGGTGAAAGGAACGCCAACGGACGTATAACAGCTACCACATTAGTCGACGATAGTCATCACTCATCCTCGTATTTCCATAATTTTTTTCTTTATCTAATTTACTGTCAGTATCAATGATTATTTTTTTTCCCCCCTCGTGATTAGTTTTTCAATTATGCATTGTTGTCGGTGATGATCGTTACGTTGAAAAAAAAAACTCAATCAATTACGAGATGATTATAGAAATGAATGTACAAATCGCCTGATTAGTGATTGTGTTAAGCAATTAGTGGTGGTCATCCTTTAACATTTCCTTATGCAATAGCGTAGTTTCCAGAGGAAACCAATATACGCGTTAAGGAAATTCCGCGAATGTTTGTGATAACTATGGTGGAGTAAGGATATAAAACCGCTCTTTCCGGCTGGGTGAATTCGTGGGGAATTTTTTTTATATAATTGAAATGGTTTATTTTGCACTCGTTTGGTTCATTAATGTCCCAGTCGCCGAGTGGATCGGTTAATTCGATGCTTTCATCAGCACTCGGTCAGCTTTTTTGGTATTTTATGAAGATATTAGGACAGACATAAACGTTGACAAGTCATTAAGAGGTATTTCGATAAGTAATTAAAAATAATTGAAACATTTCCACACATTTGTAAACGTATTTCCAGGGATTTTTCAAATGTAAAATTGATTGTGGAGGGAATTGTGATGTTGGAGTTGAGGGTAATTAAAAAATTTTGTAATTCTAATTGATGTTTATGTCTTAATTGCAGAGAATCCAGGGCGAGGTAGCAGCGAGGCCGTCTCACAGACGAGCCCAGCAAGCAGTACAGGGAGTTTGGGGGTCAGTCAGCAGACCCAACAGCAAGTACAACAGCATACGAGTCAGGGACAGATGGGAATTTCAGCGACGGAGGAGAGCAGGCATGAGGATGAGGGAGTTCATCCACGCGCTGCACCCACTAGTCCTGAAAGTGATGCTGAGGTTGATGATTTTGCACCCAAGAGGAAACAGCGGAGGTACAGAACGACCTTCACGAGCTTCCAACTTGAGGAACTTGAAAAAGCTTTTTCAAGAACACATTATCCTGATGTGTTTACCAGGTTGGTGCAATTTATCAAACAAATTCCTCAAAATTACCTCCAAAAAAAGCAATTCTGATGGTAAAAAGTCAAAGGGAAACCTGAGTCGAATAATTGGACCTGACAAGTTCTACTTAGATCTTTCCGTTCAGAACTGGATAGGTCTTGGGAAGCCTCTTCCCAAGTACTTCCGAGACCTTTCTACCTCTGGTTATGTCCCATTTCAGCACTTGTTAGGTATAAGCAAAATTTTTCTTTCAGTTTTCACTTTTTCCACATACTTTTGAGAGTTCTGAATAGCCCATCGCTTAAATAGTGGGAATCAACGTTCACCCGGCTAAAAAATTTGATTTTGGCGAAAGTCGACTTTCCCCCGGGAAAAACGAAAAATCTGACCCTTTGAAAATTAGAAAAAAAAAACTTTTTCTGTATTCACTTTTTCCACATACTTTTAAGAGTTCTGAATAGCCCATCGCTTAAATAGTGGGAATCAACGTTCACCCGGCTAAAAAATTTGATTTTGGCGAAAGTCGACTTTCCCCCGGAAAAAACGAAAAATCTGACCCTTTGAAAATGTGAAAAAAAAAACTTTTTCAGTATTCACCTTTTCCACATACTTTTGAGAGTTCTGAATAGCTCGTCGCTTAAATAGTGGGAATCAACGTTCACTCGGCTAAAAAATTCAATTTTGGCGAAAGTCGACTTTCCCCCTGGAAAAATCCAAGATCTGACACTTCGGCCCTCGTGAACCTCGTGACCTCGTGAAAATTTTTTTTCGTCTTTTCTGTCACCTCCGAGGGTTTCATTGGCATCAGTGGATCAATAAATCCAGAATCAACGTTCACTATTTTTTATTTAAACACCGCCTGCAAACGGGGAGATGAGGGTGGCTAAAATATATTCTGCAACCCTGTCTCCTCGTTGGCTACAAATTTCAACCCTCCGCATACATGCCTTCCCCTTCACCCACTCGTAAAATCCCGCTCTCTCGGTAGCATAGAGGAGGACTTCTCAGGGCCGAAAACAACTGAAGATTCGAAAGGTCTCCGGAAAAGTACGTTGCAGAACTGATTAGGACTTCCCAGGTCCATCTATGTCTAGAGAGATCTTGAAAGACCTGTGTACGTCCAATCAGAACCAAATCCTCGACTCGGGAGGTAGTAACGAGTGAATCCATTCATTCATCATAGAGCAAATGATTTAATGGTACAGGCACAGTTAACGGTATTGAAAAACGAAAAATAGGCGAGAAAGTATTAATTTTAATGAAGAACAGAACTAGATTCCACTTCCTTGATAATTCATCAATCACCAGTCACTCCCCCTGAGGTACTCTCGTAAAGACACAACAAATCATTGATGTATTTTCCCTGGGTCTTGGTCATCTCTCACGCCCGGATCGTTATGCAAATTTTATTCTCGCACTCGTTGATGCGTTGCACGCCACCAATCAAGTACCAGAGCACAAGCCCACCACACATCCTCACCTTTTATTACATTATTTTCCCCTCTTACCCCACTTCACATGAGTTGCGCAGTCCCCCTTTTATTCATAATTTTTTTTGCTCCACTATCGACGGATATGCAGACCTGGCGTCTTCTCCTATTATCCTACATTGAAATTAACTTTGAACCCCACTTTGAAGAACACCCAGTTGGTAACTAATAGCAGTGTAATCGCTGGTAATAGGTACAGCTCTCTTTCTCCTTTGCGTTTATCATGACTGCAGTAATACTATTTTCCATGCACTTTACAATTAACGGATAACTGTATTAAATGTTGATAGTGTGGGGTGGGATATTAAATGATCGACGATACAATTACTCGTGTTTTTTCCCAGTTATTGTGTAAAAAAGTAACAAATTACGTGCACTTATGTACAATAATAGAGAATGAAGAAAACATCATGTAAGATGGTAATCAATGCCTCCTTGTGAGAAACCAATTGTCATGAGAAGGCAATCTTGAACAATTTGCCATTAATTTTTCTGCAGTTCTATTATTTATGAAATTGCATTATTACGGGTGGGTCTCGTTAATGCTGTACATCACTAGTATAGTGTACAAGTTAATCGTAGTCTCTGTTCTTTCGACTCTATTCCAATGACCGCAAGCCTGCTTCACCGGACGCTAATTGGATTTTATGGCCGTTCGAGTTTATTGGCTAGTCCTATTCAAGTTGAGGAGTATTAAACTGTTGATGCATATTCAATGAACTCTGGGATGTTGGGTGGATCTTACATGCTGGCAACATTGAAATCCTAATGATTTTTCAGGGTTTCAAGTTGTTTAATTGCTTGTTAAGGGTCTTCGGGCGATTTCGTGACACATGTTAGTCATTGGTTTGGGATTTGATGGGAATTATGGGATGCGGGGGGTAGAAGTCGTTAGATATTAATGTTTATGGAGATAATCTGGCTGAACTGATCATTAAGGAGGAGTAGTAAGTCCGAAATTGTGCTTGTGCAAGGATCGGTGGAAATCCAAATGATTTTCCATGGTTTCGGCGTATTTCATTGCTTTCTAAGTTCATTCAGACAATCTTTCAAGGAATTATGGGACAGGAGGGTCGGAACAGACTAAGGAAAATAGCGAGACGAAATTGAGAATTGAAGATGGGTAATAAACTACTTTGTGAAAGTGTGGAAGCTAGGTTTGTTGATCAGGCAACATTGAAGTGGAAATGATCTTTCAGGGCTTCATCTTGTTTAATTACTTGTTCAGTCATTGGTTTGGGGTTTGATAGGACTTACGCGACGCCGGAGGTAGACATCATTATAGAGATTATTGTTGATGAAGATAATCTGGCTGAACTGCTGATTAAGGAGGACTAGTAAACCAATTCGACTGGGAGTGCATCGTTCCAAATAGTACTGGTTGCGAGATCGTTGGAAATCCAAATGATTTTCCACGGTTTCGGCGTATTTTGTTGCTTTCTAAGTTCCTTCAGACAATCTTCCGCCGAATTATGCGACAGGAAAGTCGGAAATGGTTAACATCATTGTTTACAGAGATAGTCCACTGAAATTAACAATTGAGAAAGGGTAATAAACTACTTTGCGAAAGTGTGGAAGCTAGGTTTGTTGAGCATTGAAGTGTAAATGATCTTTCAGGGTTTCATCTTTTTTAATTGCTTGTTAAGGGTCTTTCGGCGATTTCGTGACACATGATAGTCATTGGTTTGGGGTTTGATGGGATTTATGAAGAGAATATGGCTGAACTGATGATTAAGGAGGAGTAGTAGGCCACTTTGACTGGGAGTACATTGTGCCAAATAGAATACTTGTTCAGGGATCGTTGGAAATCCAAATGGTTTCCTATGGTTTTCGCGTGTTTCATTGCTTTGTGAGGGTCTTCAGACAAACCCATGACACATACCACTCACCAATTTCGATGATCAAGAACGAAAAGTAAACCATAAAATCTAGTTTAGATGTACTTATCCTGCAACATGAGGATCCAAATAATTTTCTGTCATTTCAGCACGCTCCACTACCCATTAATCCCCCCCTCAAATAACTCCACGACACATGTTAATCATCACTCTTCACTCTCACTAAAAATTATGAAACCCAAGGCACCAAACTAATCAACCATTATTATTAACAAAAATAATCTTGCAAAACTGATGATCATGGACGGGTTGTAAAGCACTTTGCCTCCGAGTGGACGCTCGGTTTATATCGATTATTATCCCAAACACTACTGTGCAGGCCTTTCAAGATCTAATTTAGATAAGAAAGTATATACCTCCGTGAGCTACTACCATAACCCAAGCGTATCCAACAACCAGTCCACACAACTTGGCCTCATAATAAATGCCACTTTAGTCATGTCAATTTTCAGATAATAAATAATCAATTTCACTCGGTAAAATTCCCCCCCCCC